TTTCCACAGCAAATGTCACCAAAGCCATCATAGTCAAACTTCTACACAGAATAAATGTGCTCTTTAACACTATCCCTCAAAGTTCCAGACTTCAATATACACTCATTCTATCCCTTGATCTCTTGTCTTCTGTCAGCACAGAACAAATGCCTGTCTGTTTGTTCAGCACACTGGGTCATTATCACTCTTTATCAATTGGAAGGATTCTTTTGTAGCATGTGTTTCCTATTACTGTTTCTATTTCACCATGTATGTTCTTCAGTCCTGTTTTGTACCTGGCCACTTTCATTGGCCCTTTTGTACCTTTTTTCCACCCTCCCATGTTGAACCCCTCTCAAAAGTTTTTATTAGATTATCCACTAGTTCTCCCATAACTGTCAATAAGTCAACTCCCTAATACAGTCTAGCTCCTTATCAGTATCAAGACAGCTTGAGCAATACAGTAGAGCGTCGTTTATCCGAATCAATTGGGGAATGGGGTTGTTCGGATAACTGATTATGTACAAAAAAATATATTAACCTATCCCATGTTGAAATTTTTCTCCGTTGCGTATCGCTTCGTGTTGAATTTTCGTCGATGTTAAGCCTAACAAAAACTTTTTAAAATAATAATCATGGCTATTGTATCGTTAAAAATTATTCTTTATTTCTTACAAACAAAATAAATATATTGAAAAATATAAAAACCAAAAATATATACTTTAGAAGATGATCTACTATCAAAAACGTTCGATTCAACACGACACACAGTCCTCAGAAAAACATCACACAATAGTTCCAGTGCTGTCAGCTAAAACACACACACCAACAAAAAAAAAAATATTGGAGTAGCCCAAGATATAGCCAAAGATTGCAGCGCCACAGCACTAGCAAAAATTTAAATTTGCCGACTGGAATGCTTTCGGATAACTGACTTTCGGATAAACGACGCTCTACTGTACATATATGCATGCCTTAAATACTAGTACCTTAAAATGGAAAGTCTGAGACAAAAATTTTTATGTAATAAAATTTGTTTTCTGAATAAAAATTATAAATTAAAAATAATTGTTATAAAAACAATTTAGTAGACTAAAAATAGAATTATATAATTTTCACAAATTCTGAAATGATTATCAAAGAAATGTTTCAAGAAAATCATAATCAGATCTTTATAAGGAATAAAAGAATTCTTCAGCTTTTCTTAATATTACATATCTAATATAAAACTATATTGACTTCACTAACTAAAATAAAGCATTTGAGTAGAAACAGACTTTGTACTGAAAAATGAAATGATACAACTGAAGGGCGCTATTATGAATGCATTACAAGGAAATCCAGATATCTCAAAAAAGTTCAACCCTTGGCACCTTATTGAACACCAATGTTTAAGCAGCCAATTAACTTGCTCTGCCTACTTTCAATGTTTGCTCTGCATTATTTTAAATTACAATATTTCCATTTGGCTTATTATTGATTATTGGGCTTCAATTTGAAAAAAATTGTAGACCTATTAATTCCCACTGTCATCCATCTGTCCTCCCTTAATCTTGAGAACAGTGTTAGATAGTGAAACTTGAGACCAGATATGGAAAGCTTAGGGACTCCAATTAACTATACAGATGACTAGACTAATTAAAAAATGACTAGAATCACAAAGGAACTGAAAAAAGAGATTGTTGAGAAATATGAAGGTGGCATGCGTGTTCGAGATTTAACTGTTGCATACCGTATTCCGTGAACAACAATATCAGCAATCATGAAAATAAAGACATTATTAAATCTGCTAACATTTCAAAAAGGGTTAAATCAATTTGTAAACATTAGATCATGTTGAGAAATTGCTTTTGCTTTGGATAACTGAAAAACAGTGTGCTGGCGACAGTGTATCAGAAGCAATTATTTGCGAGAAAGCTAAAAAGATACATGCTGATCTCATGAAAATTCAAGTAGGAACTAGCCAGGAAAGCGAGGTGTTTAAAGCCAGCCGTTTTTTTACATGAGAATGAATTAATCATTTTTACATTACTTCTTATGGGAAAGGTTGGTTTGGTATACGTCCTACTCGGTATAAGTCCAAACATCAGGAACCGATTAAGGTCGTATACCGAGGTTCCACTATATACGAACTTCCACTCTAGACTGGAAGTCACATGATTTTAATTCAAAAATTTTCCCCAGAACAGAATTACACAGATGACCAGCATGACTCTGTTGCTATGAAAAAAAGTATGATGTACAGGGGCATGACACTGTTAGTATGAGGTGCAAGTACATGTTTTAAATTAAATTAATTGAAAATATGATTAAAATGCAACCCAGCACTGTAATGATGTCACAATAAATAATTGCTTGTTCTTTATTAAGTTTTTTGTTATTTATAATCATTTAATCTATATGCAATAAAACTTCAATTTAGTGTCACTATTTGTTCATCTCTGGCATTGGCACTAAACTGAATATAGTACTACATTTAAAATCCTCAAACAGTAAGAATTATATTTAATAAATATAGGTAAGATCTAAAGACAGGTTTGAGAATTTGAAGTCACATGATTTGGTGATAACAATATCACTCGTAATGCAAAATTATATAAGTAATAATTCAGATAATAAAGGATTCTCTATTTAATACAGTAGAACCTCCATTATCCGGATTTTCGATTATCCGGATTTTTCCTTATCCGGACTACCTTCATCCCCAATTACTCCGGATAATCGAGGTTCTACTGTATTTATTTTTAATATTACCGATATGTCATCGAAAAGAAAACGTGTATTATCATTAAAAGACAAATTAAAGTATTTGTTTCGATTATCCGGATTTTTCCTTATCCGGACTACCTTCATCCCCAATTAGTCCGGATAATCGAGGTTCTACTGTATTTATTTTTAATATTACCGATATGTCATCGAAAAGAAAACGTGTATTATCATTATTNGACGAAAAAATTTTACTCGTCATAAAACGATAAATAGTTTGTCAAATTTTTATTCATAAAAATGCAGTTTCAACTGCTTTTTATTTTATAAAATCCGTCTTCTTGCGCCACCAGAGGGCCTTTTAAACAATAGGTAGTCTGTTAGCGTTGGTCAGTAGTAGTCCAAATTCAATATGAACGTTTGTTTCTTGAAAATTTGATAACGATTTAAATACAGTATTTACTTTTAATATTACCGATATGTCATCGAAAAGAAAACATGTTATATTATTATTAAAAGACAAATTAAAGTATTTGTTTCGATTATCCGGATTTTTCCTTATCCGGACTACCTTCATCCCCAATTAGTCCAGATAATCGAGGTTCTACTGTATTTATGATCCATTCATAAGCATTGGAATTTTATGAGGGCAATGCTATTTAAATTAATGTATATTGGGTTATTGAGATGAAGTTGTTGATGTATATATGTTACTGTGAAAGACCAAAATTAGAGAATGTCAACACATACAAAATATGTCAGTAAAAGACTGAATATTTGGTTATATTATTATACATTCGAACAATCGCCAGTGTATGTCGACAAGCACAGATAAGCTTTAGTGGAGGTCGAAACAACACCCGAGAAGACGATGTCGACAGAGGCGACAGTCTGTTGCCAAATTCTTCGCCATTTCTTTCTGCTTAAATTGGTGATACCATACGAATACAAGTCCCTGATGTCAACCATGGCCGTACAGATGCTTGAAATGTGTTGGCAGTTGTTGTTGGAATAGAAGACTCCAATTTTTATAAATTATCAAACAAAAATAGTACCCTCAAGCAGCTTTATACCCATAATCATTTCATAATTTGTAAAGAAAAGTTACTTTTCATAGACAAGATTTATTCTCGAGAAATATTGCTAAGAGAAGCATCTGCAACTAATTCGAAAAGTAGAGGGCAAGGCTATACACGCTGTCATTGCAAAAAGAAGTGTTCCATGAATAAATGCAGTTGTAAAAGCAAGGGACTCTTGTGCAATTCAAAGTGCCATAACAGTTTAAGTTGTTGCAATAAATAAGATTGTATAATGTTAATCACATAATTTATGTGTAAGTTTATTATTGTATTATTATCTTTAATGTTTAGAATGTACTGTTCGTTTTAGGTTCAACAGTTTATTTACATGTACTGTTACTTAAGCTTTCTATTAAAAAGTTGCATTTTTGTTTTAATGTAATAAAAATATTTTTATTCAACATTCACCATCAGTGCATGATGAATGTCGACATTTGCCGGTGTAAGTGAGAAATAATGATATTTAGCAAATATTTCGTACATACAATGCTGTGTGAATGCTGACATTTGCCAGAGATTGATCATTCACAATAACATATATATACCATGCTGGGTATTGTATCAGCTGTCTGAGTGCCACATTGGTAGGCTGTGGGCATTGAATACATCCCTAGATGGTGCCTTGAATAACTAATGTATGGTTATATCTAAAGTTCAAAAGTGTCTGGAAGAGAGGTGTCACTTGGAGGTTCCAGGTGGCATAACTGGTCAGTGCACTGCACAGTAAGCAGAGATTGACTCCTACTCTAGGCCAATTCTTTTCTTCCAGACTACTCTAAATTCTAAAATTAAATTTAATTCATAGTTACTACTTTCGTTGAGAAATGGCACCTAAAGCCTTGTTATTCATATTATTCAAAGTTCCAAATTTAACCACTCAGCAGGGCGATCGTGTGGCAGTGGTGAGGGACGACTATAGTCATCAAATTCTTTTAGGGGGTATCACCAAAGACTAGCCTAAAACTACCACTAAAAAAATTCACATAAAAAATGAATTATGTAACAATAAAAAAAAAGACTTTTCTTTACTAGACATAACTGTTTACAAAATCTTTTTCCGAAACAGTAATGAGAAAAAACACATGGAAATATACTTTAAAAATTTCAAAGGTTTATTCTCCACTACTGGGAGTAGAACCATACTCGACTAATCTACTGTTGAAAGGTTAATATTTGTAGCTTATTGTGTGCCCGATTAATATGGTTGTTGGTTGGTTGATTATTCTTACATATTGGGTTATTGAGGAGTTGTTAAAAAAATAATTTTTCATAAACACAGAGTTTTAGATGAATAGAAACTAACCTCAATATTTCATCTTTTGAACAATTTGTGAAAAGTAACCCACATTGACCTTTCAATTTTTCACTGATTTTATAAAGATTATCTCTATATTCTTCTTCAGGTGTCCTTCCAAGTGCTCTTGCCATAACTCTATTCTTTCCAAAGAAGAATCTAAATATTCGTTAAATAAACTGATTAGACATTGGTTTTTAATTTGATGATGATGAAATAGTACTCATTTAAATCACCTGCTATGTTTCCATTCTTCCCGGACATCTTTTAGAGTATTATTTCTCATATTGCGAACAGAAAAGAGGACTACACGAGCATAACTGTCAACACATTTTTGAATCTAAAACGTACATAAAATAGATATTTTTAATTCATATTACTTAAGATTATTCAATCCATATAAAAACTTATATCAAGTTCATATATTACAAATTAAATAATAATTATATTTTACTACAAATATTCAAAACTATTCCCTATATGATAAACAAATTGAGAAATTAATTAATTGTTCAATGAAAGACATAATCCTGCTACTCAAACAACTTTGAGTTTCAAATATGCATGATCCCAAAAAACAACATCAAAAATTAGTAATTCTTCATTCTTTACATAAAAAAAAATATATTGAGTCAATTTACATCATCTTTTTATAATCAGAACTCAATATTTTCATAAATTTAAAATATTACCATAATATGATGTGTTTAAAAGTCAATTGATGGTTATGCAATGACGTGTGTTTTCTGCTGATTTTAACTTTCAACAATAAACTCATCCAACAGTATTTCCTTTGTCTTACCAAGAGTTTTTACAAAAACATGATAAAACCTTCGCTGGCTTCAGACATTCATCTACTGTCACAATTTTCTCAAACAACCAAAGGTATGTATGGTTCACATTTGGTTCTCTCCCATTTATTGTCTGTACATCAATCCACACTTAATTAACTGATGTATCAATTACTTTTTTATTTAAAAACTGATACAAATATGATAATTCCTTCCTCTTTGTGTGTCTCAGACAAATATTTAAAAACAAAATGTTCATGTCATATACTGTACTAGTATTTTATAGTGAATAAAAACTGGGCAATAAACACTCAAATCCTTGTCATTGGATTTGAGAGTTTATTGCTACATTTACCTACATCACCTACATTAACATTTTTTCTATGTTATTTTTTTTGAGGTTGTTTTAGCTTTATTATAATTATAATTATAATATAATCTATACAGAATACACTAAGGCAAAATCTGTTTCCAATTCTTATGATATTTGCACTTGAATTACATTTAGCTTAATGAAAATTAGTCCTACTGCATCTATTTTGCTGTTTAATTTCATTTAAAATAATTAAAAGCAAAAATATTCCAAAGTTTGCTCTTGCCTTATTGACACTCCCCCTGCCATTCTGGTTATTGAACTTTCCCTTGTCTAGTATAAAAATGTTTCTAAAAATAACTTAATTGATTGACATTCTTTCATTGATTTTATGTTATTAATAGAAGGATTATTGTAAATTAAATTTTAGTCAGGATGACCAATGTCAATTAAGCAAAGAACTCTTACAATGGGAAAAAAATAAAAGCTACATTTGATTAAATGTTATCAACTTAATTTGCATGCAAAAATGAATATTTGATTGTGAAGGTAGTTATACAATTAATGTTGTATACCATGAAATTTTATGTCTTATATAAATAAATTTTATTTTCCCTATTTATTTGTAATTTAACCCCCTGTTGCTCCCAAACTGATCTGCCTATGCATGAATTCCAAACTGCATATTAGTGTACATATTTGTCAAAAGTGTGGCTTAAAAATTTTATTTCAGTTTGCAGGGTATACACCAGTTTGAATTATACACTGCTGCAGGTTACATGCATAACATTATGGTAAGCACAAAATAATAAAAATCCAAATATTATTACTACTTTATAGGGAGTGATACATTTACATTTTCAAAATCTGAAAGCAATTTATGGTTATAAATTATATATAATAATTATAATAATGAAAGATACATTGAATGAAATCTTACTTCTTCTATCAAATGCTGCTTCATTTCTAAACCTTTCTTTCTTGTTTTGGTAAGAGTAACTGTAAAAACATTTCAAAAAAATATTTACTATAAATTATTATGTAAAAAGTTATTTTAAAGGATAATTTATTGTTATATTTTAGATTATTATATCAAAAGTTGAATTACATATAAGTATTATATGTAAATTATTTAGCTGTAAAATCAATACACATTCTATAAAACTTTGATCCAAAAGATAAGACTCTCTTAAACTTTATGATTTCTCATTAATAGAGATTAATTAAAACATAATGAAGATTCAGGTGCTTCATTCCTTCTCAATAAGTAGATGTTTCACTAGCATTCATTTTAAAATATTGATGATCTTACAACAGTTATGGTTATATGAAAGAAAAGAATTATTTTTGATGAACAAAATATTTTATACTAAAGAAATGGAAAAATGCATGAGGTCCTTACTGTACAGTTAGATTAGAAAGAGAAATCTCAGAGAAACAAATTCTATGATGATGATGTTTCTAATTGCATTCAATACTTCATTTTTGGAGTGAAAACTTGTCATTTTGTTTTAGTGTAATACATAATGATATAAATAAGGTAGTACAATTGCAGATGTGCACAACTACATGTGGAGCATCAGTCAAGGCGATCAATCTCTCACACCTCAGTACTCAGTAGGGGTGATCCCCAACACTATATGACATCAAGTAATCCACAAACAGTCAAGTGGGCTACTTCAAGTTGGTATAGTTGTGTGCACTAAATAGTTAAATGCGATAGTTTTTGTGGAGTGCAACTGGCAATTACATGTGGCTTAATTCAGGGGCTATAACTCACAAAGGGTCACATTTAGAGGTATGGTTCCTTTGACTTTTCTGCTCCTATGGACATGCTCTATAGTTGTGTCAAGGTCCCAACAGTGTCATTCACTTCAGTGCACAACTACATGTGGAGCATCAGTCAAGGCAAGCAATAACAAGCTTTGATGATGCAGAGCATGGAGAATAGGCAGTAGCACTGGTTCAAGGTAAAAACAATTTTCAGTCAGTAGAAGTTAATGCATTTATCATTTGTTATAGGCACTGATTGCCATGCCTATAACATAACTTGCTTGCAAGCATGATGTCCACAAGCAAGATGGCAACTGAAACTGCTACCATTGGGTTCTATATTTGAAGACGATATCTGGGAAATAGTTGGCTGTCAGACTTTCCTTTGTTCTTTAATGATAAATATTGCTAGAATGTCTGATAACTGCACTGTACTGATTGTTAACTCACAAAGGGCCACATTTAGAGGTATGGTTTCTTTGACTTTTGCTCCTATGGACATGCTCTACAGCTGTGTTAAGGTTCCAACAACATCATTCACATCTGCAATCTTCCCAATAATGTTACAAATATGAATGTGAGTTAAGTACTGTGTTTTGGAAATGTCTACAAATACGTTTCTTTAAAAAAATTAAAAACGACCCCATGTACCGATTCTATATAATTACCATTTGTTACTTGGTGAAAGCAAAAATTCTTATAAACTTCTATTCAATATTAAATACAGTAATACAAATGATGGTAAAATTATAGTAAAGCGAATTACGAATTCACTAACGAAGTTCAAATTGCTCATTAGATATTTTAACTTAGATTTTTCTAAAAATTAATATTTATTAAATAGTATAGCAGTTATATTCCTCTTTTCAACCTTCCAAATTATTTTAAACGAAAATGATCAAATCTTACTTTGTCTATTTCTTTTGGATTTCGGCATGTTTAACAAATTACACGAAAAATAGATTTAGTATGAAACACGTGTGTTCTATTAATTTAAACCAACACTAGAGGGCGGACATATGACAAAAATCAATGTTAACAGTATTTTATTTTTAATATTTATTTTTCCTAATAAAGTTAAATAATGCATTTGCAAAAAATTTTTAAATGTAAATTTTTTTTCACGTTTTTTATAAGTGAAAATTGTTAAATTAATGAAGAATTGTAGGCCGAACTTAGCATCGGCTTGCCGCTATGGAGCCCGGAATCGAGTCCAAGATACGATTATCTAAACTTTCACGATGCCACAATTACAGTCAAACCTCGATTTTCGAACGCCTCATTTTTCGAACAATTCGCTTCACGAACTGAATTTCGAACTCATAATTGCTCCGGTTTCCGAACAAACCACTCGGCAAGATCCGACCACAAATTAGAAAAGCATAGATGGTCTTCTTATATTAATTAAAGAAAGTCGACCACCCGATCAATCAATGACAGGACTACCAATTCAGAAGTAGTGGTGCCGAGATCGCCAGACGTCATTAGTCGTCACGACACGAATCATCGATGACGTTGCTATTTAAAATAGATTTCAATACGCATGCGGGAAAGATACTATTTTCGTTTTTCGGTACACTCTGCAGTTAAATCAAATTAATTACTGTAATAAAAACCGCGTTAATTGATATTTACGTAATATAAATGGAATTCAAGAATTTGTGTTTAAATATGCTTAAGTTAAATTAGATAACAAAAGTTTATTAATATACTGTATATTATAATATTAATATTTATTTATCAGCTTTAAAGCAAGAGTGGCAAACATTTTTGAAATCAAGAGTACGCTCGGTTTACTAAATGACGTAATTGGTGTTTGCTGATTACATTCCCATACAAAAATTATTTTACATTGTATTGATTTTTCTTCTGCAACAACTTTTAATTGTATATTTGAATTTTTTTGCGGAACACTTAAAGTGTCTTCGCGAAGCAACCGTGTTCTGCAGACCACGGATTAAGTACCACGGGTTTATATAAAGCTCCTCTTAGTGCTCACAGAGCGGAGAGAGTCTCCATATAAACGAGAGAGAGAGAGAGCGGAGAGAGTTATAAAAAAATACACGTGATAATTAATAATTCATTAAAAGTTTTTTAAACAAATTTAATATTTTATATTATAATATTTATTCAATAATAAATTAGAATATACATATCACTAAATATATAATAATTTCATAAAATAAATCGTCTCCAAAATAAAGCTTTCAAATGACACTAGGTGGCGAAGTTGCGTCATCATTTGCAATTTACACGTGTGTTGGTGGTTTGATAGTTTTGTGAACAAATCTGAATTTCAGTATGGAATATCTTTCTCCTGGTGATTGTACAACAGAACAGGGAAATATGTAAGCTATAATAAAATTTATAATTTTTATAATAATGGCCCTTAAAGAAAGGTTATAACTCACTTAAATTTACCCTAGTTTTAAAGATTCGAAAGAATTAATAGGATTGTTGGTTAAACTACCCCCAATGGCGGCGCTTCGGTTAGGTTAGATTAACTATATTTTTATTTTGTTCAAGAACTACCGTGAATCAATAATTACTGACTTTAGACACTCGGCGGCCTGCCGGTGGCTCCCCTCCGGGAGGAGTCCGTCGGGAACACAAACAGTCGGAAGCGCCTCCATTGGGGATACCTAGGTACACTTTAACCACACATATATGTATGTAGATATAATTAATATAGCAAGGGTATAAAACCATAAAAGACTAACCAAATTTTGCAGTTTTTTAATAATGCATTTGGACTTTTAATAAATAGTAAATTTTTGGTTAGTCCAAGTTCCAAATCCCATTTTTTGAAAATTATAGTTTCACAGTTAGTCACTGGTTATATAACCATGATTTAAATCAGTGTTTCTCAACCTCTGACGAATCGTCGCTCCCTTCAATAAAACCGTTACGTACTATTGCCCCCTTCACTTCAAAATTCCAATGCCGAGGGCCAAGGCTAATGCCAAATTCGTACTGCATTGAATAGACTAATGAGTAGTATAATGTTATTTGTTTAATTATTGTATGATATAACGAATAAAATATCTAACTATTCTTAATACAGTGGAACCACGGTTAACAAACGTAATCCATTCCATGAGTCCATTTGTTAACCGAAGCAATTTTTCTCATAGAAATTAATGCAAATACAATTAATCTGTTCTAGCTGTCAGTATTTTTGTAATTTTATTTGTAAAATGGGTTTTTTTTGATTCTTTTCAAAAAAACAAGACAAACTTTTGCATCAACCCAATATAATTTAATATCCACATGTTAAAAGCAAAAACACTATTGTTAAGTCAGACCAAAGTTCAAAGAGAAGTAAGGAAAAAAACTGTACTGTAGTTGTCAAAACGAACGCGGCGAAAAAACGAATGACGTAACGGATCAGGTGGAATGTCTGCGGCGAAGATGAAACTCTGACAGAAGCAGTGATAAGCAGTTGATCTAGGTTAAATTTTCGAAAAGGGGAACGATTTGACAGGTATAAAAACATCATGTACGATCATTAAAGTTCTAAAATGACAGATAGCAGAAATAATAGGCTAAATTATGAGTGAAAGGCTTATAGGTTTATCAACAATCTCCGATCAGAATCGACGAACAGGTGTCAAATAAACGCCTTGGAACAAACCTTTCTCGTGACCTGATCTGGTTTCGGTTTTCCCCTGGAGACAAAGAAGAAAACAATCAAGAAGCAAGGAATGGGACGCAGGACTAATTGTAAGGTGAGATTCAAGGAAGAAATACTAGAATCTCAAGGTCAAAATGCAGTTTTCTTAAAATTCTATGGCGATTAATCTGTGTTGTCTTCATCTGGATTAAGCCTGAAGTCGTGCCCGCTAAAATTTGTTTTGTGTCTCGCGGACCGCTCCAGTTGTTGCAACTCTGTCACCTACCATTGCTTCTGTGGCCAAGCGAACCCATCTCGTCTGCTCTGGGGCTACGACTGATCAGATTGCACTATCATAGGACCAGCGATACGCCATACCTCAGTGCCGGGAGAAAATACTGTAGATAAGCCATTTCCAACCACCTCAAATATGTAAGCATCTTCTCGTTCTAATAAACTAGTAGCCCGGGACGCCCTGTAGTGGGCATTGTTTACAAATTTCCATGAAGCACAGTTTCTTTGACTTTTTTGTTCCTATCAATATGCTGTACAGCTCTGTTAAAGTCCCAATGGTAAGATTAGGTGAAGAAGTGGCGACCCCCCCAAACTGTAGCCCCCTGTGTGAACAATAAAGGCAAAGGAACAATACCCCTACTCNAAAAAAATTGAAAGGATTAAATAAGGTAATTATCTTGGAAACTGGAATAATAATGATAAATTTCAAATTACAGTGAAACCTTGTTATTTCGATATCAGATCATTTGAAGTCAAATCTAGTCCTTGGCCAAGAGAATAGAATTTTGCACATGTTTTAGTTTGGATAATTTGAAATACGCACACAATGAAATTTGAAGTCATTATCTGGTTCGGTTAGTCGCAAAAATAGCATTTAATTCAAAATCTTTCATCATGTTATGTGTTTATAAGAAAGTTTCCACTCCCAAGTGATACTTTCAGATTTGGTTTTCCCAATTATACATTGTCAATTTATTCATCAGTTCAAAGTCATTCAGACATCATACACATTGCCAATGAAGAGAGAATTATTATTATTTTTATGGAAGAAATCTGTTTTTCATTTATTTATTTTGGACATTTTTTGAAAAAATCTATTGTTTCAATAATTCCAAAGTGCATATTCTAGCTTTAGCATTCAATAGAGCTTTTGTTTTCATCAGATCACACAATTTTCGTAATCTCAAACTCAAGTTGGTAAGTTCTTCATAGAACTAGCCATTGGTCCTCTAGACAAAATTTGCACTTTTTGAAGCACTTAAGCTTCTTTCGTATATTATTTTTAGGTCTTTCTTTGAATGTAGTTGTGTTTTCATTAAGTACATACAAACTGCTGGTTTTTTCAAAATAGCTTAAAGTAATACTTATAAAGTTATTACTTAGTTATTAACTAAGTAATAAGTATTACTTAGTTATTAACTAAGTAATAACTTGTAATGTTAACACATTTGTAAATGAATGGGTAAAATCATATCAGATAACATCATTACAGTAGAGTGTCGTTTATCCGAAAGCATTCCAGTCGGCAAATTTAAATTTTCGCTAGTGCTGTGGCACTGCAATCTTTGGCTATATCTTGGGCTACTCCAATATTTTTTTTGTTGGTGTGTGTGTTTTAGCTGACAGCACTGGCACTTTTGTGTGGTGTTTTTCTGAGGACTGTGTGTTGTGCTGAATCGAACGTTTTTGATACTAGATCATCTTCTAAAGTATATATTTTTGGTTTTTATATTTTTCAATATATTTATTTTGTTTGTAAGAAATAAAGAAATAATTTTTAACGATACAATAGCCACAATTATTATTTAAAAGAGTATATGTTAGGCGTAACATCGACGAAAATTCAATGCAAAGCGACACGCAACGGAGAAAAATTTCAACACGGGATAGGTTAATATATTTTTTCGTACATAATAGGTTATCCAAAAAATAAGTTATCTGAACAACCTCAGTCCCCAATTGATTCGGATAAACGATGCTCTACTGTATTTTATTCGAGAATTACAAAAAACTTTGATTTAAAAGAAACTTTGGACAGTTCAAACCCAAATAATTCAAAGTTTAGCTTATTTTTTCTTGGTCCATTGAGTTTCAAAATTGTATTGTATTAATTTTAAAATTAAGATTTTACACTACTCTCCAGTTATAATACAATTGACAGTGTTGTGGATTCAGATATGCTATCAATCTTTTTTCACTTAAAATAATTCTGAGAGTAAGGTATATGATGACATATTGCAAAATATTTATAGAAATAAATTTTAGAAAATCTTTATACATATGAATATTAATTACATTTTCAATAATCCAGTAAGTTGTAAATGTTTGATCATTCCACAACTTAAACATGACATCTATGGCACATAATTTTGTTGTTTTTAAGAGAGACAAATTTGATCTTTCTTAATCATTTTATTTCATGTCAGTTTTATTTTTATAAAAGAATTAGAATAGTTTGAGATTAACAGTTCATTAATATAACTATAACCAAGCCTGAATCAACAAAACTTGCTAAATGTCTAAAAGGCAGATTTTATTGGCTAACATAGAACTGAAGTATTGGCTAATCTCAGACTAATATTTACACTAACTAAAACATAACTCATTGAAATCTGGTTTTAGCTATTTGGTAGATCTGATGAAGTAACAACAAATTTCTTAATTTTCTAATTAGAAAAATTTAATATAATTAAAGAACTTTTATTCATTGGTTATAATACAGTTTATCTTTTGATGTAAGTTAGATCCTTCCCTCTGAAAATCATATTATATAACACAACAGTGTGTTAGTTATGTTTAGGTTACATTATTATATATAAGAAAAATGAAAAAGTCAAAATAAATGTTTTTTAACTCATAAAACTGAAAGAAATTTTTGGATTTTTTTTAAGTTTGATGTTGATCTAATGTTAAAAATATGATTCTGATAATTGTAATTTCTATGATAAGAAATAAGTATTAATTATAAATTATAGGTACATCTGGTTGATGCTAGTTTTGTATGGACTGAACCACATTCTCGTCGAATTAAAGTCAAGTTGACAGTTCAAAAAGAAGTAATGGGTGGTGCTATATTACAACAGATATTTGTTGTAGAATATACTGTTAATAACCAAATGTGTGATGATTGTCATAGAGTAGAAGCAAAAGATTACTGGAATTCTGTAGTGCAAGTACGTCAAAAGGTAAGCATCTCTGTACAAACAATTTATTTATTTCAATTAAATTACAGTAAAACTAATTTAACTCAAACACCTGTAACCTGATTATTTCTTTAACTCGAAAATGAAGCACTTGGTAGGTCTCAATGGAATAGCGTAGGTATTTAATGTCTCCAACTTGAATTTCTTAACTCAAATTATTTCCATTTCAAAGCTTTGTGGTCCCTGGACAATGATTTATGTAACTTTCAACTTTTCTGACTCAAATTTTAATATTTATTCTATCCAAAGTGATCCTAATTATTGGATTTCCATGAAATTTTCAGACTTCAGTCCAAAATGAGAGGTCCTCCCACTTTATCTCAACAAGATGTAATGTACCTGAAAACTGTTTGATTCCATTAGTTACATTGAACAATTGGCTGAAAGGCATTACACGGGCTGTTTAAAAAAAGTAAACTATTAAAGATTCTTTATGTAATGCATGAGGTAAAAGTACAAATCTATTCAGAATCAGCATTTTTTACTCTATTGTTTTCTAACTCAAATCGTCTGTAACTTGAAGTTTTTCGTGCCCTTTGGAGCTTTGAGTTACAGAAATTTTACTATATAGTATAATGTATTGTTGGATTTTATTTATTTAAAATATTTAATATTGGTGTATAAATTAACCTGTTATAGATGATATTCAAAAAGACTGGTTTTATATATATTTAATTATTATTTAAATTCAGAAATGAAAACTAGAGATTAAATGATCATCTTTATTTTTTTTGATCTGACAGAAATATTTTTTTGTTATATTAAAAGAATCTTTGTTAGAATAAAGAAAATTTAGAAATCAAACTTAGTATTAAATAAAGACTTTACTTCATAGTTTGTCAAATTTATCCAGTTTGAAAACCCAACAGCATTTATTAAGAAAATATTTTCAGCCATCTTCAATGATCATCATCAAGTTTTAGAATAAATAAATATATGCATACAATAGAATGGAATTAAATACAGTGGAACCTCGGTATACGTCTGCTTTAGAATATGTCCAATTCGGAATACGTCCTGTTTGGACGAAACAAATTTAGTTTGGTATACGACTTTTGTTCAGTATACGACTTAATTCAATTATACGCGCCATCTATGAACAAGTAGCACTATCGGTATACTACACCAGACTAGACGTTTGCGGTGCTACGGTTTATAACTTTGTTAAATTTCTTCTGATTTTGTAAGCAACATTTTATTATTTTTATTAATTATGAATTGCAAAAGGGCAACAGAAAAATAAAAAAATGACTAGAATCACAACGGAACTGAAAAAAGAGATTGTTGAGAAATATGAAGGTGGCATGTGTGTTCGAGATTTTAACTGTTGCATTCCGTATTCCGAGAACGATATCGACAATCGTGAAAAATAAAGACATTATTAAATTTGCTAACGTTGCAAAGGGGGTAAATCAATTTCTAAACAGAGATCCAAGACATTAGATCATGTCGAGAAATTTTCTTTGCTTTGGATAACTGAAAAACAATGTGCTGGCGACAGCGTATCGGAAGAAATCATTTGCGAGAAAGTTAAAAGGATACATGATGATCTCATGAAAAATCAAGCAGAAACTAGCAAGAAAAGTGAGGTGTTTAAAGACAGCCAATTTTTTTACATGAGAACGGATTAATCATTTTTACATTACTTCTTATGGAAAAGGTTGGTTTGGTATACGTCCTATTCGTTATAAGTCCAAACACTAGGAACGGATTAAGGTCGTATACCGAGGTTCCACTGTATTATATTATAAATAATTTTCAAATGCTGAATATTTTATTTTCTGTTCTAATAAGTACTGATATAAATACTTGAAGTTTCTCTTCATTTTATTTCTTATCTTTAAACAATAATTAAAATAAATACAAGAAATAGCTGAAATTTAAGATCTAATATGTAAACCCATATCCAAAAGATCCAGATGTTTTTGATTCTGTTTGATTCAATTCTAAATTTGTTTGTGTCTTTAAGTAATGAATAGCATTGAATAGTCATTATTAGGACATATCTGTTTTGTCTTTTAATAACATTTTTTCCACAAGAAAACTGCATATATGTTTTAACATATTAAGACAAAGACAACAAAACTTTGAATTAAGTTAACTGTTTTTTTTTGTTAGGTATTGATTAAAGTATTTTTGATGAAAATATAGTTTATATGTTTGTATTCATAATTTTAATATTTCTTCTTAAATAATTTTAACCATTCTGTTCATATACAAGAAATAAAATATTGATGATATAAATATTAATATTATAAAAGATCAATATTTATTAAATGTAAATTTACATTACAAGTTATTATTATACAGTCATTTACTATACAATATAAAAATATATTTAAAATTTAAAAAAATAAAAATTATTTCAGGTTGAACACAAAAAGACTTTCTACTATTTGGAACAGCTTATTTTGAAACATAAAGTACATACATCTAGTTTAAATATTAAACCTGCAAATGGTAAGACACATTTTAGATATGTTTTATTATATTTTACTCAAGTAAGCAATATATTTTTATAGACATTAAAAAACTTTGCATTTATTATTAGTAAATGATTGATATTTTGGAGTAATGTCTATTATTAGCTATGTTGTTAATTGATTAAAATATATTTTGATCTATATGTAAATTTGATCAAGACTAAATTTTCTTCATAGGCATTTTGGGTTGGGACCTTTATTTGTGTCTTCGAGATATACTATTCAATATATTTGAGATGGTGTAGGTCATGCTTTGTCTATAATTGACAAAATTAAGGTCTTCAATAGTGTATTAGAACAGTAGGACAGAGAAATCACTGAGTTCAGTGTTATATGTGCATTTTATCATAAGTACTTTTGATGAACCTATAGTCATCGTCGTCAGGTGAATACAGAAAATTAATAAGAACGAACAGAAATATTCTGAGGAAGAAGAACAGAATGAATATTATTCAAATTAAAACTTTTGATAACACCGTTAAGAACAAGCAACAAATATTCAAATGTGTTTGAAATTGAACAAGCAGTGAGATACATAATATGCAAGGTAGCGCATATGTGGATCTAGGTCCACGTTATGATGGAGGCTAAGAATAGTTGTTTAATCACTTATATAGTGTGACCCATACATTGGGCAGGTTGAGGGTAGGAGTGTTGTATATATCTAAGGTTGTAGTAAGAAGGGACTCCCATATAAAAAATTGAGTTTTCGATTTTTGCAGCACTTGAGCATAATTGTTTGGGACCATAGCACTTGAGCATAATTGTTTGGGACCATTGGGGCATTTGTAACCCTGCTCAAGTGCCTTTTTTGTATGTTCTGTGGTGTGCCTTCCCTTCACAACATCCTATTGGTGTTCTGCAAGATGGCTAGCAAGCATTCTTGTTGTGGCCCCAATGTACTTTGTGTTTATTTCTGTTGCAAGATTCTCCAGTGGTACAGCATAGACTCTGATTTCTCAAAAGAAGAGAATTTGTCCCGATTGTTGCAAATGAGCTTGTGTAGATTTAGAAGTGGGATAGTGTCAGGACAAGGTTATGCTGCTTAAAAATATGGCAAATATGTATAGAAAGGGGTCCAAGATGTGGCAATGATGGTTGGACCACAGAAATATCCCTCTTATTGCATAGCATGGTACTTGGAAATAGGGATTTTTTTACCATGCATGCATGCATCATATGCATGAATTTAGCATGCAAAAAACCAGCAGTGCATATCACCAAATTAATGCTGTCTAATTCAATATTCACCAGCACTTGTGATGATGATAGTAAGAAGGCTCTTCTGATGAGGGCAGCAATGGTGGTGTTAACATATCAAGAAGGCTGGAAAGCTTCTGCTGGGATAATATGTGGTTGCCATATTTGATTTCTAGTGAACTGAGAACTGTGGTCTTTTAGGATATCTATGTATGTACAAATCTAAGAATGTTATTGCTGCATCATTTTCTTTCTCCCAAGTAAAGTTGATGGAAGGATATATACTTGAGAGTTGTTGCATGAAGGTAAAAAACATCTCATCTGTATCTTCCCATGCTACTTGATATAAGGGATGCACTGACCTTTATCACTGAGCATAATTATTTCTGATTCAATCAGAAAATCTATTTACAAAAGCAGGGGGTCCCTATGGATTCCCCTTTATCTGCTATTCTAGTGGAACTCATTATGAGAGAAATTGAACACAGAATGTTCACTTCCCCATTTACCATCCACTATACGGGCTGTATTTGTGTTATGTTAATGATATCCTTATAGCGTGGTGATATATTTTCTTTAGTTATTTCAGAAGTCCATTTTCAAACTGTGTTAAATTTATTTGTGAATTAATAATGATTCAAAGTAAAGTGTGTTTACTTCCTAAAATTTTTAAACCACTTGTCATAACACCATGGAAGTAATTGGCACTTATATGGAAGTGACCATATGCAATCCATTGAACATGATTTTAGTGTTTAGGGCAAAATACAGAACTAAAGAAAATTAACTCGGACACTAACACAAATAAGCAAAAAAAAGTGCAATTACAAAATGAAAGAGCATTGTTTATTCAGTACAAAATGATATTTGGTTCAGCAGAAAGTCTTAGAGGAAAGAGCAGAAAAGATCAAGAAAATGTCAGCAGAAAATTGATTTCTGATGTTTGGCAACAAAGTTATAGGGTATGGTGATTGTATAGAATGGCCATTGCAGTTACCCAACTTAACACCAATAGACTTTTTATTTTGGGATAACTGAATGATCAAGTGTATGCTACAGAATCTTCCACTATAACAAGTTTAAAAGAATGCATCTTTCAACACCCATTCTGTAAACCCTGCAATGGTGCATGCTATTTGAGATGTGGTTCTACCTGTATCCAGAGGTGCATTACTGATTGTACACATTTTGAACACTGTGCACAGTAGACTATTTGGAAGGTTACTTGCATCTCTGCTTTGCAAACTTTGTTATGTCTGTGTTGTTTGTGCATAAATGTTTACTGCATTCTTTGTCTTTTCTGCTCTTTCCTGTAAATGTTTCTGATAAACAAAGTATCATTTTGTACTAAATAAATGATGTTTTTTTATTTTATAATCGGACTCATTTGTCTATCTGTTGGTTTCTGAATTAATTTTCTTTAGTTCTGCATTTTGCCAGTAGGAATACTAAAATTGTGTTCAATGTATTGCACATTGGGGTAAAATTGCTTTTGACTTATATTTGAGTCTGATTAAAGTTTTCTTTGATCTCAATACCTGTCTGTGGTATATGTGGTATAGCATTAAACTGACACTAAAATTTGACTCATTAGTTATTTAGTGTTGCTAAAATGCTAGCCAAATTGTGATCAGTTATATTGCAGCCTGCAAACTATGCATGGGAATTAAGTATTTAGCATGATTGGAAATAATCAATTCGTCTTTTGTTCAAAAACAGTTGACTAAACTAAATCAACTGTTTTTATCTTATTCAACTGAACCAATTAGTTTTGCTAACTTCTATAGGAATATTATTTTGGTAACTTTTTTATTTTACTCTCACAAGTCTCTGTTAATCAAGTAATTCTCAAAAGTTATGGGAAGGTTGCTTAAAATTTACTGTGAACTTTATTCCTTATTTACCACCAATATGTACAGAGCAGAGGAGATGTACAGTACTGTTCAAAGAGGCTGAAGATCATGATGACAATGAAAGTTCTGAAGATGATGAAAGTAATGAAGTATTGTTTCAATTACTTTCCAAATTTTTTTAATGCAAACTGCTAATTTTTTTTGTATTAAATAAAATTAATAATAAAAGGTCAACTTATATTTGGCCCTAATTTATTTCAAAATGTAGAGATACCGAGTCCACCTAAATTTGGGCCAATACAGTATATATTATGTTATATTTAATCAAAACTATTTTTAATCCAGAATTTATTATAATTGATAATTTTATTATTATATTTCATATTACAAATATTGTATGGAAATGTATTTTAATTGAGGCTATGATCAACATAAGCCTATCTAAAGGCAAGGAATGATGTGACCTGTCATCCTTCAATACTGATTATTTTTGGAGACAGATGGATGAATAATGTGGTGCCAACATGCAATGTTGTTTATAGAAATGAAGCCCAAGTAAACAGAAAAATATGGTGTGACATGACTAACATTTTCACAAAAATGAAAGTACTAGGCAATCACACTGAGGTATATGAGATAATTGAGAGGCTGGATTAGCATGAGTATAATATATTTATGCAAAGAAAAATATTTGTAACTCTCTTAAAATTAAAAAAATTCAAAATATTTTATTATGATTGACTAGCTAACAAGCAATACCAGCACATGCTACATGGCTGGCCACAATTTCATGTTGCAAACAACTTGATTTGTAATTGAATTGGCCAGTGTGAGTGAGATATAGTGAACAATGTTCCAGCTTATATTACTAATGATAATTTATGTGAATGTAGGTTGGATTCAAATCTATATCCTTCATGGTGACAAGTCACTATAGGTCCTTGCCAAATATCATCTGGCCAGTCCTAATATATTGTGTATACTATAGAATATAAAAGTAATGAAAATTATTAATAATAATAAATAATCTATAATTTAAATCTAAATTATTTTAAAAAATTACAGATGGTCTTGATTTTTATTTTGGAAAGAAAGATGATGCTCGAAAATTTTCAGATTTTCTACAAGCCACTGTACCATGCAGGTGATTTTTTAATGTATTTAATTTCATGTGTGTGCATGTGCATACATGCATGTGTGTATGTATATATTGCATAAAATTTTTATTGATTTAATGTGTTATTAACTGATTTTGTTTTTTAAAATATGTAATAAAGAAATTTTAAAATCTTGTGTTATAAATTTAAAGAATATTTCAGTACAAATTATTCTTAAGCAAATTTTTATATTTTCAGAAATAATACTTCTCAGAAGCTTATTTCTCATGATGTTCATAGTAATGTATACAATTACAAATTTACTTTTTCAATTGAAATTGTTCCAATATGCAAAGTAAGTTGACCATTAATGATCTTAATATCAATTTTATTATTTTAATTATTGATGATGATGATATAGTTTGTTTGTTAACTTTAATCATTAAATAAAGTCAACAGCTTAAGATAGAAGCTTTTTAATAAGAAACTCATTAGAATCTCAATATTCTTTTAGAAGTTCAGTAGCTTTTTATGATACTTATATAAGCCAGAGAAACCACATACTGTGGATTTTTCATATCCATAGTTTCTACAGAAATCACATTTAAATTATGGATTTCTGTATAATCCTCTAAAAGCTATGAAATTATCTTTTATAATCTTGAATAAGCACACTAATTGATTTACATGAATAACATAGTTTAATATGTAATTGATAACATTTAGTGTCACCAACATCATGAATGATTATTCATGTATATATTTTTTAGTGCAAAGCACTAATTTTAATGAAATTTTTAATGTCCAAAAATGTGAAATTTCTTTATGACTAGCAATATTTTA